TAAGCGTGCGCGGTTCGGGGGCGCAGGCAAGGCGGGGGCCGCAAACTATTGTCTGGTGGGCTGCAAATGGCTGCATGTTTGAGGCCCCTGGTGTAAACCCTCTTGTCCTGGAGTGTAGCACATTTCAGCTTCCTGTAAACCTTAATGGCATGACTGCGAATCTCCAACAGCTTGACCTCCAGGGGTAAGTGAGTGGAGTAGCGGGTAGTGGGAAGTTAGAGTTATGAAAATGAATGGATATTAGCAACTGAATGCCAAACAAAATGTGATTTTAATAGACAGGTCGTCATTATAGTGTTGGTGATTTTTATGAGGGTCCTGGAGGTTAATAGTAATGTAGAGCAGGTTCTTTCTCCATTGCATGAAGAGGTTTCTTATTTACGTTTGTAGCCTATGAATAGGGTGCGGAATCAATTGCCTTTTGCCGGTTCAGTTGAGAAAGAAAAACTCATCACTCAGCGAATCTTCTGTTGCCTTGTGTTGAGCCATTTTGTTCCTGTTTGGCTCGGAGTAGAGGCAAAAGGAGACATCACAACCCTCATATCAGAAGACCTGTAGGGTAAATTTTGTTTACATACCAGGCTATGTCAATTGGAGCCAAAATATAAGAGTATTACTAGTGGTTAGAGGAAAAACTCTTTACAGCAGAGTAAGCGTGGGCGCTTCGGGGGCGCAGGCAAGGCGGGGGCCGCAAACTATTGTCTGGTGGGCTGCAAATGGCTGCATGTTTGAGGCCCCTGGTGTAAACCCTCTTGTCCTGGAGTGTAGCACATTTCAGTTTCCTGTAAACCTTAATGGCATGACTGTGAATCTCCAACAGCTTGACCTCCAGGGGAAAGTGAGTGGAGTAGCGGGTAGTGGGAAGTTAGAGTTATGAAAATGAATGAATACTAACAACTGAATGCCAAACAAAATGTGATTTTAATAGACAGGTCATCATTGGTGATTTTTATGAGGGTCCCGGAGGTTAATAGTAATGTAGAGCAGGTTCTTTCTCCATTGCATAAAGAGGTTTCTTATTTAAGTTTGTAGCCTATGAATAGGGTGTGGAATAAATTGCCTTTTTCCAGTTCAGTTGAGAAAGAAAAACTCATCACTCAGCGAATCTTCTGTTGCCTTGTGTTGAGGCATTTTGTTCCTGTTTGGCTGGGAGTAGAGGCAAAAGGAGACATCACAACCCTCATATCAGAAGACCTGTAGGGTAAATTTTGTTTACATACCAGGCTATGTCAATTGGAGCCAAAATATAAGAGTATTACTAGTGGTTAGAGGAAGATGGAGATCTCAAGGAGAATGGTCTTTCCTGAGAGATGGTGGATCTCCTGTCTCTGGAGATCTGCCATCGCAAATGAACTGGATGACTGGCAATCCTTCATTTACTCATTGTGCTACATTGCCTCAGGTGGAAATAGCTATCTTAAACTGATGCAAAAAATGTCCAGTCTCTATCTTGGGACTTTAGTTCAGACCTGAGATTGTAACATCCAGTCAGGATAATTTCTGAGCTATCCTGCTTCTCTCCCCCACCCTGTCAAGCTCTGCAATGGCCAACCTGATGAGTTTGTTCCTGGGTGTGTGTGTGTTTGTGTTTTGTTTTTGATTTGGAGAGTTTATGTTCTGTCTTTTAATCTAAATGGTCTATTTGCTTAAACTGCATTTTATATTATATAGTTCACAGAAGTCATAAAAATAGTACATTTATGTTCTCAACTCAGTTTGATACAACTGTGTAAGTTCTAAGGACCTGAATTGGAAGCCAACTGTGTGGAAATATTTTTAATTTCTTTTTCAATCAGTGTTCCGCCTTATAACCTAAAGTCTTGAGCCCTTTGTAATCTGCTTATATTTTCTTAATTAGATATGGATTACAGCTGTCAAACAAGGAGTGAAAGCTGGTTCATTCTTTTGGTCCAAGTAAGCAGTCTTCATTAATTATTATTAATTATTGTAAAATTTTTGAAGTTAAACCACACGCACAAGAGAAACTTATCTGTAATGGTAAACTCCTGTACTTAGAAGCAAATGCCATAGCACACAGCTGACAGGGCTTAATTTCTAAATAAAGACATAATTGGGAAATAAATCTGGTTCACTTAGTTCTGTTAGGCTTTGGAATTGGCAGCACTTTCCTTTATACTTCACAGTTCATGCCTTTAATTTTGTTATTTATTTATTTATTAGATTTTTACCCCACCCCTCTAGACAATAATATGTAGTTATTTATGTAATTTTTAAAAATGTCTCATTGTATATTATTTTTGCAGTTGTTTACAGCAAGAAATTAACTGCTGTCCCGATTTTGAGAGAGTACAGCAGTCATTAGCTATGCCGGCTGGGGCTGATATGGGTTGAACAACATCTGGAGAGCTACAGGTTCCCACATCTGTTCTGTATGATCACATACTGAAGATGAGAGAATAGGTGGCTTGGGAAAAGCAAAAGCAGGAGGCTATTGAGGGCTTCTGATGTGAAAAATTTATGTGCATTGCATATGGTATTTTTTATCAGCTAGATTATATGTAGTTGTAACCTTTGCTTGTTGCAACAGTGTGTCATACCTGCTTTTTCTTTCCATCTCTCTTGTGTGTGAAATAATTTTAATCCCTACAAAATAAAAAGAAATTTACATAAAACCTTGAATAGCTAATAATAGCATGCTATCAAGTAGCTTCTAATTTATGCCACTAACAAGTGAGATGATAAGTGGCACCAATATTGAGCAGACCTGGCCCCCTGTAGGAATGCACTTCCTGATTATCTTGTCCTACCTTTCACATGTGTGCACACAGAAAACAGATGGAAGTTAATAATATAGGTATGTTCTCCACAGGAGTTATGATATGGATCTTAAGCATATTACATTCCTACTTCCTGGTGGACTGTAAGTTATCAAAGACAATTCATCTCTCTGCTGGTCTTATGCTATTTCTCTGTTTCTTTTCCAGTGTAATTTCTCATGAGCGCAGAATATTAACTATTCTGCAGTGGCTAACTTTGCCAAACAATGAAAGGTAGGTAGGCAATCTTTGCTTTTCTTCTTAAATGTTGTTTTGTTGAAGGGAATGGAAAATGAGGATCTTTTGTAGATTCCGAACTTTGATAAGTTCATGACGTGAATGTGCTGTTATTACTGGGCAACAATTACATGGGCTCATGTTGATTGGTGCATGTTGCCTTTAATCCTGTTTAGTCTAATGTGGCTTAACAAGCATTGTTCTGAAGGTTTGGGTGAATGTCAAGATTTTTAATTCTGAAGTTGAGTACCCATGGCACTATATCCTGCCAATGGGCATAATCAGTAGAAAGTGTTGTTGTACGCTTTCTCTCCCTCTTATGAAACAGAGGAACATTTTGTCAGGAGATTGTTCACCCCACCCCACCCCGAGCACCTCTCAGCATACCTTGTTGTATTTTTAAATGAAGTTATGGAAGAACAAATTACTTACTCTTACTGTGGAAAATTTATGACTGTCTACCCCCTTCCTCTTTTTCCATAAGAGATAAATTTGTAAGGGTTGACATGAGATAACTTGCTAAAATAGCTATTCTTTTGCCCATCCACTTTTTCTTCCAGGCCGTATGCTTATGCATTCTACTCTGAACAACCAGATATTGCTGGGCACCGATATGGTCCCTCTGAGGTTAGTATAGTTCTTCGTCTCCCATTCATGCAAGACGTTGCCCTCTGCTCAGTGTTTGGCACTGCTGCAAAACCTGCCAAAATGCTAACCTTTGACTGAATGGCTTATTGTTCACATCTGTAAGACTGCAATGTGAGGGAGTTGTGCTGAAAATATACAGACTGTAATACAGCTACTCTATCATGAAAAGGACAGGGAAATGTTACTCAAAGTTTCCAGCTGTTACTGGTGGCCAGGAGTGTTGGGTTTGTTTTTGATTTTTAGTTAAGTCTTCACAGGCTTCTCTTAAGTGCACCTAGCGATGAATGATAAAACAGAAAAGTGCTGAGTAAAAATACCATTTATTGTGATTATTTCTGAGGCTTTAAATAACCCAGTTATTTAATGCAGGTTGCTTGTGTGTATTCCCTCACCTTTGTTTAAGGAGTAGAATTGTTTGTCTTAGACACATTTGCTTTATAAAGAGGCTGATATTAATTGTTTAGAAAAGAAACCTCTTTATTTTTCCCATGTGTGAGCTTGGATAGACTGTCTTTGAATTAAATTGGTATGGGACTGAGTAAGCCAGTTTGTGAAGCAAAATACATGTTGGCCTCTAGACAACTATTGAGACTATACTTGATTGCTAAAACTATAGTAATTAGCCATTCTGGGTTAAGGATACAGCCAGATTCAAATAGTTCATTCATTCCTAGTCAGTATCCAAATGCAGCTCTTTTTTGTCTTGCTCTAGTAGTTTGACCCACAATTTTAAACTCAGGAGGCCTATCTGGCTTGTGGTATTGTGGTATTCTCTCAACAGAGAGATCCACCAGCACTCAGTCTTTTTTTCTTGAGAATTTGGCTATTTCTGTATTGGGTGACTGAAATACTCAAAATGTCCTGACTGTCCAGCATCACAATATTTCTTTTGTGGCTTCACCATCTTTGGGGTTGGAGGTGGGTATGGGGATGAAATATATTTGTCAAATATGAAGCAAAAAATGCCAGATGTTCAAGCTGGAGTGAGGGGGGGGGAAGAAGAACTGGAGATCCTATTGGCTACTGGAACATTACAAAGGATTTTAGATCATGATCAGCTTATGTTATATAGATTACAGTAAAGCCTTTGACTGGGTAAAGAAAAATTAAAAAAACACCTATGGATTGTTATAAAAGAAATAATGTGCTTCAACATTTGATAGTCCTAGTGCATAACCTGTACTCTGGATTAGAGCCTACAACTACAACAGAATATGGAGAAACAGAATTGTATCCATTGGTCAAAGATCTGAGACAAAGGTGTTTTATATCTCCTTAGTAAGAATTTTGTAATTTAATGCTGACAGTAAAAAAAACTGAAATTGTTAAAGATTTTCTGTACCTTAGTTTAATCATCAGTCCAAATGGAGACTGTAGCCAAGAAGTCAGCAGAAGATAGAGACTGGAAAGTCTACTATGAAAGAACTTGAGAAGATTATTTACGTGTAAAGAAACAGAGATAAGACCAGTAACATCTATAGAATGCTGTCATTGACTATGGATATGTGAAATCTAGGTCATGAAGAAATCAACTCATTTGAAATAGGGAGTTGGAGGGGAGTTTTATAGATACCATGGACCACCAGAATGACAAATAAGTGAGTTCTAGAGCAAATCAACCCTCTGACTAGAAGCTAAAATGCTTAAACTCAAGCTATCATGAAAAAACAAGACTTGCTGTAAATTGTAGTAGTACTAGGAAAAAAGGAAGACAGTTGGAAAAGTAGAATACCTAAGATATGATGGACAGAGTCAATAAATGAAGCCATTGCATTAGTTTTTAAGACCTGAGTAAGACTGATAGTGATAGGACCTTTTGAAAATTTCAGTTCCAGGAATTGGAAGGAACTTTAATGGCACACAACAACAAAAATCCAGTCACAAGCTGCTATTTTGTGTAAAAGGATAGGTACTCTGGTCTCTTATGTCTAAGTAAATTTGGCTGCATGTTTCTAAATGAGTATCCTAAGGAAACTGGCTCAACGGTGCAGGTTGCATGAATGTTGATGTTTACTATGATCAGGTTTTTGTTTAAAGTAGAGAGGCTCTCAGGAGTCACCTTGGATCTGTAAGGCAGTACTAGCAATCAAAGAAAGCTCATGTCATTAAGATGTTATGTTCCTTTAAAATTAGATGTTGCTTGGTACTTCAGGAGATTTTAATAAATAACTATTAGTTAAAGAAGATAACTGTTATGTCATCATGAACTGAGAGACCTGGGTTCAAATTCCCACTCTGCTATGAAAATGTACTTGGTGGTAGTAATGGTAAAGTATTCTTTGAACATCTGCCAGGATCTCAAAAACCTTGTTAGGGTTACTCTTACTTGGAAGTGGCTTGATGGTACATAACTTCAAAAAACTGAAGACACATCTGTGTGATGCTGTTTTTCATAATCAGAAAAAAAAATCCCATGTTATTCATACAATGTTCCTATGAGGAGGCAGGGTTGAGTAACCTGCCCAAGACTACCTGGTGGCCTTTGAGCAGAACAAAGATTTGAAGTGACATTTCTCTAGTTTATGCCTAATATTGCATCAGTAGTACCATACTAAATCACAAGGAGCCATTATACGTCTAAAGCAGCCTGTATCAGATAATAAACATGTTCCCCCATCATTACTAATTCTCAGCAAATCAGCATTGTCATGTTAAACTGTGAAATACATACAGTGGTGCCTCGCAAAACGAATGTAATTCATTCTGTAAGAATCGCTGTCTTGCGAAAAAATTGTCTTGTGAGGTTCCCTATGAGAACCTTGCAAGACGAATGAAATGTATTTGTCTTGCGAGGCATCGGTCTCGGGGAAAAAAGTCTTGTGAAGCATGGCCATAGAAGAAACTCTCTTGCAAGGCACCATAGCGATTGGAAAAACCAATCATCTTGCGAGTTTTTTGTCCCGCAAGGCATTCGTCTTGCGAGGCACCACTGTACACTGATTGTTATAGACCCTATAGCTGTGCCTCCAAATAGAGTCCAGAAATGCAGAATTTGGCCAGTTGCCACTGCCTCTGTATGTTTGCTATCTCACAACAGGATTGCATTACAACATGTTAACTCACAATAATATACTGTTTCAGAGAAAATCAGTTCCTCCTATCCTGTAACTATTGTGAGAGCACCAGTCATATTCAGAAGGAGTATGGAAGCCTTTAGTGGTAGGGAGATGACACCAGTAAAACCTGCTGGTGAACACTCTGTAAGCTCTTGTTTCACTACAACATTTAACCAGAAGGGTTGTGGGTTGGTTGTGCAAAGAAAGATCAGGTAATACCATGTTTTGTGCCTGAATTCCAGTGTTAAATTGCCATCTATACTGTTCCTGATAGATGTCAGTGTGGCATTTGCCTAGCAATTAGTGCAGGGATTGTCACAGGCCCCATGGGGCTTGTACCTGCTAAAGCAAAGTAGTAAGAACTGAAGGCCACATAAGAGGTCTGTGATTGGATCTTCCAAATATTTTTCTTTTTTTTAAGGAAAAAAAATCTCACCCAAATAGGACCTCTGTAGGCTTGTTGCAGTCTGCAGAAAGTTAGGAGATATGAGCACAGACCTCTAGAGTAACATCTGATTTAGTTGTGTCTCCCAAAGACTCCTCTGAGGAAATATATGTAGGTTATGCACTTGTCTATTTCATCACAGTATGTTGTGTGTTATTACGGTGGGGTTTTCCTTTGAGGCAGAACTTCTAGCTTACAAACCTTTGCCTCTTTTGTCATCTATAACTTTTTCTTCTGGAAAGCAAAATACCTCATGGCATCTTCTTTCTGGTACTCATATATATCTGTTCTCATTCTTTGCAACAGAGACTAAGGTTTGGCTGGTTAATAAAAACTTGGCTCTCTTCCTAGCTTTAGCTTCTTTACAAAGAGAACCTATTACTTGGTGAATGTATGCAAATGCCCAGTTTATTGTGAGCTGTGAAATGGACAACAAACTCATGCGCTTACGGACTGTTTTGCTGCTCCTCTAACATACTACTCTGAGATGGCGATCCTGATTATTAGAACCACTTGATGGCACAGTTAAAGCTCTGGCTGCACTTCTTTTGGAAAGAGTGAGTAAACTGTGAGAATCCTTCCTCCCCCATCCCCTGCTGCTCCTCTCATCAAAACTGCACGAAGCCTGAACTCTTCCTCTCTCTCTCTCTCTCTCTCTTTCTCTGTCTTTAAAAAAAGAAAACTCTGAAGCTTCTTTCTGGAGAGAGACAAATGGAATTGGATTAGCATCTCGATTCCAGCTGCTTGCCTGGGAAGCAATGAAACAGCATGGCATATGGTAACACAGTTTTTCCTTCCAAGAATGGGGCTCTGCAGTTCAAAAAACAAGGCAGGGAATGGCTGAGCACATAGGAATAAATGGCATTGTAAATCACTGCCGAGTCTCAACTCCCCTTCGCTGTGCTTCTTTTCTTTCCATTTTTTGAATTAGCTGCATTATCTTCTCATATGTGTTGTCTTGCACTCTTCTGATCCTAAAAGATGCCAAGAACTCTCATTGGAACAGTCAATTGGAGTTGCATGTGACATGGCTTCATTTTAAGATCAATCAAAGTAATATCAAACAACTTTGCCCTCTCTGGTTCTAGAGCTCTTTTTTGCAAACAGTTTTGTGTATCTTTTCTTAATAAATCGGCAGTTACCTCCCCACCTTCAGCATCTTTCTTCAAATTCTTGCCAGCTTGATGTCAACGTCTTTTTTGATAATAAAAATAAGTGCAATCCTCACAAAAGCTGCCTGGATAAATATATGCAGTATTCTACAGTAGCAACACTGGGGTTTCTTCTTGTCTGAAATGTATACATGTGTGTTTGTGTGTGTGTGTTCAGGCAGTGCTTAATTTACCAGTTACAAATACTGTGGCCTCTGAGCTTTTTAAAAATTCTCATTACCTGAGCATGCCTCTTGCTGCATGGAATTCTTACTGGCTGGAAATCTGGCCGTGTAGAAATGAATGTGAACAGCTTTTATGTCTTTGTATCGTCATTTTAGGGCAGAGATATATTGAGCATCTGATGAACTAAAACAAAATGTAAGCATGAAACAGTGCCTTTTTACCTGTAAAAATAAATAACAATAAACAGGCTGCTCTTTCTGAGTATCATTTCTTATAGGCTTTAGTGCTATTCTTGCATACAACTAACTCCTTCCTTTCAGACTTATCCCTGACTTGTCCTTTGAACCACCTCTGGTGGCTTTAACCCCAACTGGTGTACAGGTTCCTAGATCTGCTGACACAGGTAGCTTCAACTATCTGATGTTAGCTGAACTTTGTCTGAGTCCAGGCATCTCTCTCCGCCAGTACAGGAGAGTAGTTTTGGCTCACTTCTTACTCCATCTAAAAGACCTAAGAGAAAGATCACTCCTAAGAGGAGACAGAAAAGACGTGTTGATTCTTCAAAGAGAAGAAGAAAAGTACCTAGAGCGGAACAATACTCTGCGGATTCCCGTCGGAACAAAGTAAGTTTCCAAAACTGACATATACCAAATTCTGGAGCACTTGTACATCTTGGTTATCTTTTTTGGTACAACTTTGGAATTCTCTTCTTCAAAATGGAACTTCCAGTTAAATCATCTTGGAAACAGATCAGCAGATGGCCACTACATGACCAGCAAGAGTAATCTGACTTCTCCCACGTTGTCTTGCTCTCTTCTGTAACCCCTTTTGGAATTACTTTCTCCTTGTATTAAACTGTTTAGCAAACTCCACCTATCCATTTTTAAAAGGTAAATTATATGTGCTAGCTGTGCATTCTAGTGCAAAACTCCATCCCCATTCCCACTTCTTCATCTCCAGGTAATCTGCAGGATGCTTGTTGCAGTCTTTTCCAGCCAAAATGCATTCCTTGAAAATAGGTATCTGTTCCTCAGGGAGATTCTGTTAGTAGTACCTGGGAGTAGGTGATAAATAGCTCTCTTCCATAGCATGGCATCAGGATGCTATTAGGATCCCCTTAAACAGGATATCATATGGCAACCTGCTTTCTCTAGAATGTGCGTTTAATCTTTTCAATTCATGGCCATCAACTTAATATTGGTAGCAGATTTTTGGAAGACTAGCATCTTGGAACTTGATGAACCAATAACAGGGAAGTTACAGCAAGAAAGGATCATGCCAGCCATTTATTTATTGAGCAGTCATTTTCCAGGACTAGCAGTCTGCATTTGGCCAGGACATGACTATGGGGAAATATTGTTTCCACAAGATACCTTTACTATACTGTAAACTCAAAAGACGCCATGGCAGTGAGTGACCTACTGTTAATCTGAGATTCTAGAGGCTTGGCCAAGACACATCAGCAGTGGACCTGCAGATGTAGACCAATTTTGGTGTTTGGATGTCTGCTCTCCAATGTCTTTTCATATTTTCTTGGTGAATTTGGATCTAGAATGTAATTATTGCTGACTATTCATCCTTTTCAATATGGCAGTATTGGCATTCTTTTCCTCAGAAGCCCCCAAATCCCTCTAAACTATTCCCAATGGCTCATTTGAAGTTCCTGAGAACTTCCCATTGGCCCTCCTGACCTTAAAACTTATACATTGACAAGGGTGATATGGAGGTGGTAGAGAAAAGTTATTGTCTCTGTGCCATGGTTTTCTATTAGGTAGGGAACAATTTAATTATGTATTATCTTGCTAAGAAGCATTTGCCCCATAGATCCCATTATCAAGTAGTTAAGTTCAGGTTTTCTTTGCAATTCATATTTTAGCAATTAAAGAGTGTGTAATTTTATGGTTATATTGCGTTCTGGCCTCTTAGGGAGCTTGGAAAATAACATTTCAGTTAAAACAAACACAGTTTTAGGAGAAGATTGAAGAAAGATGATAGCAGGAGCTTCCATAGTGGACCTAACCAATGCATTGTTTTGTGTCAGAGTTATTTTGATTGTATGCCAAAAGCCTACTTAAAAATGTGGTTTTCACAAAAAAAATTCAGTTTGTCTAGTCAAAGAGGAAAAAACCCTAAGGTAAATAGGAAAACCAGTGTGGCATGGCATATAGATTATCAGAGTAAGATACAGCAAAAATTAGTTCAAATTTCTGCATACTCATGGAAACTCACTGAGCGATGGCAATGATAAATCACTTTTTTAACATCTTGAATACCTCAAAACTCCATTAGGGTTGTCATAAGTCAGAACCAACAAAACAGGGACTGATGTATCACAATCTGATTTGAACTTCTGAATGTTGTGTGTGATACAGCACAAGTATTGTGTTCCATAATATTCATCTCCAAAAGCAAAGGCTGCATTCACACCTCACACAGCGGTTTATGTTGCCGGATTGTTGCTTTGCCTATGAATTTACCCCCAGAGGTCACCAGAATAACGAGTTTGTTTTCCCCATTTATTTCTGTTTCTTTGTCTCCATTTTTGTTTGCTCTTGCTTTGGGATGGGCAGCCTCATAGGGAAGTAAACAAAGGACAAGCCATAGTTATGGGTTTGGAATCATGGTTTACAGAATTCGTAAATCAACAAGAAACTATGGCTTCTACTGGTTCAGTTGTAAAAAAAAAAAAAGGTTTTTTTAATGAGAACATGTTCAGACTCAACAACAAATCACAGCAATGCTTATTTTTACATGCAAACCTTTTACATGCATTGTATGTGTGTGTGAGAGCGAGAGCGAGACAGAGACAGAGAGTTAGCAAAGTTGATCTTCCCATACATTCACCTCCACTCATTTAGGTCACTGATGTTTCCCAAGTGCAGATGATTCAGAATACATTATGTTGTGGATTTCATGTCACCTGATTTCAAATATAGAGATTTTGACTGGTCTTTCGATAAGCTTGGCTTATGAGATAAACGTGAAGTTAAAGAAAAATTCATTGAAGGGAACACTAGCAGTGACTTACAGTTGTGGTGGGTATACACCCCTTTCAAAACTAGAGGTTTTATCCCTTTAAGTATCACTAGTCAAGGAAAAATAGTGAAAGAGGCTCATGACCTCATAGTATGTTTGTGGAGTTCCCAAGAGGCATTTTGTTGATGTTGAATTATATAGACTTGGTTCTGATCCAGCCAGCCTGTTATGTTACATTAGTTATCTTTCTAAACTAAAGAGAAGACATTGTAAATATGCCAGCATAGTGATCATATCAAATGGCAGGAGGAAAGGGATTTGCTAAGCAAACACTTGTTGAAAGACAATTAGAAGAAAAGCTAATATTCTGTCCTTTCTTGAAATATATGTACATATAGATGTTGCATCATACACTAAGAGAGATTGACAAGATACTGGGGCAGCTAATGGATGGACTAAAGCAATTGAACCTACATCGATGTGTCAACATTATCTTTGTTGGTGATCACGGTAAATAATAACTTTAAAAATCTGTTTTACCAAAGCTTGAATTGTGAGTGAACTTCTTGGCAGTTTTGAAATCTCAGACCAGCAGGAGACATCATGAGAGTGTATGTAAATAAGAACTACTTCACAGGAATCCTCATATTCTGTCAATTAAGGATTAAGTGGTGGTGCTGCGGGTTAAACCGCAAAAGCCTCTGTGCTGCAAGGTCAGAAGACCAGCAGTCGTAAGATCGAATCTATGTGACGGAGTGAGTTCCCATCGCTTGTCCCAGCTCCTGCCAGCCTAGCAGTTCGAAAGCATGCAAATACGAGTAGATAAATAGAGACCACCACGATGGGAAGGTAATGGCATTCCGTGTCTAGTTGCGATGGCCACGTGGCCACAGAAACTGTCTACGGACAAATGCTGGCTCTACGGCTTGGAAATGGGGATGAGCACCATGCCCTAGAGTCGGACACGACTGGACTAAAATGTCAAGGGGAACCTTTACCTTTCTCTTGATGGAACTCTTGTTTTTTGACAGGGATGGAAGAAGCTACATGTGATCGGACTGAATATTTGAATACCTACCTGACTAATGTGGATGACATTATTTTGATACCTGGAACTTTAGGACGTATTCGTGCTAAAGCCAACAGTAATGTTAGACGTGAGTTGATCTTGCAGTATTTATCTTCTCCCTAGAAGTGCATCCTGATTCTCCTCCCCAGGAGCAATGTTAAGAGGGAGACATGTTCTGTCTTGGTCAAAAGACAGATAGTTACAATCAAAGAAGATGTTAAAGGGAATATATTTTTCTTGCAATTAATACATGTTCCCTTTATTAATGTGATTTTCTCAGAGATGGGAGCATCAGGAATCAGACCTTCAAAATAAACTTGTGTTTACCTTCCTATGAAAAGTCATGAAACAAAGCATGCCAAAATGCAAGAAACAGAAGTGAGGCAAAGTGTATGCTATAGCTAGGGATATAGATTGTTGTTTTCTCTTTTCCTAGAAAACAAGGAAGAAAACCCTTAAAATTATTCTTGTTTCAGAAAGGAGTGAGGTGTTCTATAGTTCTCTGAAGAGATGAGGAGAATTTTTTGTGCAAACCAAGAAAAACAGTGGAAATTATGTTTTATCAACAAAACAGTATTTTAACACAAAAAAACACAAATTGAACAAAATAATGATTGCCACTGCTTTGTTGCATACACTTAAAGATTAGAAACATTGCATTCCTTTTCTGTTTGCTGTATACGGACTTTGCTTCTCAAAGTGAAACACTACTAATTTTGTGCAAAGGTAGTTTATGCAAATTATGACGACCTTGATGGGTACAAATACGCTGCTTTCTCACCCTCACACAGATGTGAAAAATCTTGCAGAGCTTGGAAATTATTCATTGAGGTGTCTTATCAAGTTAAGACTGCCCAAAAAGAGAAGAATGAAAAATTACTGAGTATTTATTGCAACCTTAGATGTCTTGTCATCCCTTGAAAGAATACCACTTAGAAATGTGGGTTGAACACATTATCTAGTCTGGTCCTTATTACTGCCTACTTCAGGAATTTTGAGACATTGTTAATGTTTAGGACTAGAAATTACTATATTGACAGGCATAGTTAAGCATATCCATGAGTTTAAAAGGCTTCCTACATAAAAAGTTTGGCCACTTAATCAGTAGGGTCCAAGGAGCCATAAACAGAAGGAAAATAATAATGAAAAGTCCTGTTTTCTGCAAAGGCTTGCAAAGACATTGTGCAAGAGTCCACACAACGTTATTCCACAAGGGACAGATCTAGAGTAGCTCTCATGCTTGCAAACGGAAAACATCTTCATGTCCTGTAGTGTATTAGTTAGAGTATTAGACCCAGACTAATCCTTTTATCATTCACGGATAGATAGGATAAACATGTAATAAAATAAATGAAGGGTTTTGTTTCACATTTCTTGTACAGTGCCTAAGCACAAGGCATACAAAATATCTTCTGTGAGCAGAAGATGCTTTCCATGTGTGACAGCTTCATTTTAGATCCAACCCCTTCTGTATGAAAGCCAATTCTTGTACTAAGCACTTCAATTAAATGCAGGCTACTAACCTTTCTTTCTCCTCTTTCCCTACATATTTAACAGATGACCCAAAAGCCATTGTTGCCAATCTCACAGTAAGTATTTGCTTACAGCATGCATTTCCTTATAGTTACTAATTATGGTTTTACTGGTCAATGCTATTAACTCAGGACCTGGGCTAAGATGATGCTCATCAGACTATATAAAGCATTTCCTAAATAGAAGCATTCATGACTGCAGAGGAATGCATGTCATGATTTCCACTGGTTACAGAGTTCATTTATCCCATTTTTGGAAATGGAAAATAATTTTTATGAGTAAATATTTTGCTGGTGCCCTGTTGAAAAAAATGATACTACTTTGAAATTGTTGTTGTTGTTTGACATTGCAAGCCTAAATCACGTCTGTCTCAACAACAGCAGACACACTGAAATCAATTAAAATGAACTTAATTTTTCTCCATTCTCCCCATGCCATCACATTTTTTGAAAGATGTGATGAAAAATGAGAGGCAGCAAGCAGAATATCATTCATTTCAGTCCATTGTGAATGACCGTTAAAATGCTTGGAGCCCAAACAGTGAAGCTTTTGCTGAACTGCTTACATTGGTCATTCCTGAAGGAAATTACAGACTTTATCTCCACCTTCTTCTGTTTAACAGTGGGATTTGGGTATACTGTACATGGTAGCAAAAACTTGAACTAAATGGATCAGTCATCTGATGGTACAAGTTTTATAAGAGTATGAATTTGTGTGAAAATTGTTCTTATTAAGCAATAATAGTTTTCAGATATGGCTTGGAAACATTACCTTTCAGCGGCATACAATTCCAGAATACCCCAACTAACATGGCTATGTTGGCTGGGGAACTCCAGAAACTGAAGTCCAAAAAATTAAGTTCTGTTTGACTTTCTATTTCGTAAGTGAATTGGAAGGTTAACTTAGAAAGTCTTCTGAAATTTTTTTTCTTTCAGTGCAAGAAGATTGACCAACACTTTAAGCCCTATTTGAAGCAGCATCTTCCCAAGCGTTTACATTATGCAAACAACCGAAGGATTGAGGATATTCATTTGCTGGTGGAAAGACAGTGGCATGTGGCTAAGTGAGTTGAAGTTTTCCTGTCCGTATAACTTTTCCCTCTTTTTGAGAGAACCTATCCAAAATATTTTACATATCTATAGTATTGATTAATGTTCTTTCTTTAAGCATGGCTAAGAGAAGCTTGTGTATGTTATATCTATACTAGGATTGCATTGCTTAGAAGACAAAGCCTTAATGCTTCTAATTCCAAAGGGGACAATCCTATCCATAATGTTAAAAAAATTGATTTAATAGTGTGGACGCAAGAGCATTGTGAGACCAGCACAAGGTTTCTCTTGCAATAGAACCTCCTTGCTTTCTTAAGCAGAATGGCTATAACAATAACAGTAACTATCAGCATTTTAGAAAACATAAATAGCTTTATATTCCATGAGTAAAATCAGAATAAACTTAGTAACCTTTATAAAGACTAAGTAAAATGTCTCAAAAATGCATAATCTTTCAAGTTCTCTCAAGCTGTGACTAGACAGGGAAGTTTTTTTAAATTTCCTACAGGAGTTAAATTGTTGTTGTCATTCACATAGAAATGTTTAATTATCATGGGAAGTTGCAGGCCAAGAGTCCACCCAGCACCTCAAATCACCACAGTTCTCACCTGGCTCATAATTGTCCATTATCCCCTATCATTAACACTGATTTAATTCTTATTTATCTTCTGAAAAGTAAATGGTTATTTATTCATCCTTGTTCATTCATGGCTGCACTGAAAATTTAGCAAGGCAGTTATGAATTATTGCTTCAGCACTCATCTGATGTAGTGCTAAAAATACTCATTTTTGACAAAAAAATACTAATTGTTCAGAAGAGGGGCAAGAGGTGCTCACTGGAGGGGGATGTTCCCACTATGCTGCCATACTATACCCTGCTGAACACATCAGTGACACCCTAATACACACCTCCTGCTACCCCTTTGGACCAAGGCATGCAATCACACATACCAAAAAAATGAATCAAAATGATATGAGCAGAATTGCTGCTGCTCCTGCTTTAAAAAATGTCCCTGCCAACCAAATAAAAAGTAACAAACTCCCAAGGGGGTGGTGGGGGTGGGGAAGACTTGCAACACATTGAATTTGAGCATGCAGCACATACGGTGGGAGTAAATTGCAGCATAGTCATGTCCAGGATTAAACCTGATGATACAAGAGTCAATATACGTCGGAAGGAAGAAAACGTAAAGACAAAAGCAGAGGCTTGCTGGCAAATTAGCCTGTTTTTGATACTATGGCTTTGTGTGCATGCCTGATTTCTGAGGCACACAAGGCACTGAAATATTTTCATGCCTGGAGAGAAAAATTAGTAAGAGACAGCAATCTGTATTTGTCTTGATAGCTGAAAACTAGTAGTAAGTCCCAGCAGAGTGAATGGTAGGTCCATTGACTCGGGGGGGGGGGTTCCATGATTGAACTCCCCCATAAGTTCCGTTAATTCAGTGGTCCTATGCTAGTTGGATCATCAATATATGATCTGACATGGAATAAAGGAAAGTTAACTGTGAAGGAAGTGGTTTATATTAAGTTTCAATAGCTGCTCTTCATCTAATTTAGCTCTAATCAAACCAAATTTTCCCATAATGGTTTAGTAGAGTTCCTTACTATTTTTTCCTCACAGTCTTAACATGGAATGGACCTCTGTCAGTGAGGAGATCAAAATGAATTTCTTGCCCTTTACATGGAATGGACCTTTCAGTAAAGAGACCAAATACAGGCAGCAGAACATTTTGTTTGTTTGAGTGTTGTGGGTTTTTCAGGCTCTTTGGCCGTGTTCCTGACATTTCGCCAGTCTCTGTGGCTGGCATCTTCAGAGTACTGGAGTAGGAACTCTGAGTTCCTGACAGAGTTCCTACTCCTGTCCTCTGAAGATGCCGGCCACAGAGACTGGCGAAACGTTAGGAAGAACAACCTTCAGAACACAGCCAAAGAGCTTGAAAAACCCACAACAAACATCAGATCCTGGCCGTTAAAGCCTTCGAGAATACATTTTGTTTGTTTGCTTGCTTGCTTGCTTTTTTGTTCTTGTTTTGGGGCTTGGTGGCCCCACTAGATTTCAAAAAGGTATGCTAAAAATTTGACCATAGATTGAACTGACTGAGATGGCAGCTTCACAAGTGGAAGGTGATAAAATGATATTTGTCCAGAAACATATTAGTCTAAGATGCTGTGTTTGCACAATCAAACCCATTAGCAAAGCACACTAATTTGCATCTTGGAGTTACACATTCTTGCTGGGTTCAAGTACTGCAGGAAGCACCCAATTCTATTTGGAAGGCTGCCACCTCACCTATCTCACCCCTGCAGCTACTTGTAAGGGGAAAAAATAAAATCGTTTTTAGATGTACATTATTCTTAATTATCTGTTTCTCTGGATTGTGGGATATATTACCCAGCTAAACCCTTACGTTCACATGCAGAACTTTAGCCTTTTTGGACCACAGCTGCCAGGCTCTTGGAGTCGTACGGGCCATTGGCTGTATTGGGAATTATAGTCCTCAAAAGCTTCCACCCCCCCAGCTTTGCTCATGTGTCTTCAGAGTCATATGGTGGAGTCTAATCAATGCAAACAAGCACCAACAAAAAGGGACTGGGTAGTACTACAATCTCAGCTTCCATATCACAGGCCAGTGGCTCCCCCAGAGATGCAGGCATTGGCCATCTCAGGCACAACTGACTTGTCTTCAGTTAATACTTTTATAGAGTCCTTCTGCACTTGTTAGGGTTAAGTATAAAGCTGCCTTTGGGCTCATTGCTGGTGTGCTAAAGTGTCTTCTTAACCATCTAGGAGGCCTGGAGATGTTTTTAAGAAGTCATCAGGGAAATGCCTTTTCCATGGAGATCATGGGTATGACAACAAGATCAACAGCATGCAGGTAGGGATGAACAGCAGAGTTCTAGGAGGTAGTATGGTAGTTGTGGTTGATTGCTGGCACTAGTTGTTACAACTTTTCTAGAATGACTTATAGTGTAACCATGCCACAGTCCAACATTCTACCTGTGGAGTTCAGTGACACAGAAAAAGTGGAGTAACAAAAATATTGAAATTATTATTTTACAATATTTATTTGGCTGTACTTTATTCTATCTTACGATTTCACTTAATTGGCCTTCAATGTGGCTAACATGAAAATATTTTAGAACAATACAAGATTAGAACATTCTGAAACTTAGGGCATGATAAAATCAGACAGCTTCAGAGCACCACCCACAGTAAAGACCTTCTTATTAGGTGCCATTAGCTTAATATGCAGGTAAATGAAGAAAAATCTCAATCAGTGACCTCTGCAAACAGCTAGATTCTCATGGAGGAAGGCAACATCTCTGTCTCATGCATGTAGATGCATTTGCTATAAGTTGCCCTTGTTTCTTTTCTTCCCATTTCTAATGCTCTGTCTCCTTCACTTTCTCTCTTACACACCTATCTTCTTCTGCACACCTATTTCTCTTCATCAGACAAGCCCTTTGCAATGTAAGGTATATGCGTAGTGTGTGTGTGTGTGTGTGTGTGTGTGTGTGTGTGTGTGTGTGTGTGTGTGTGTTCTCTCCTTGGCCTCTGGACTACTGAGCTGCTGTCTGGTTCGAGAGTTTTCATCTGATAGTTCCCGTGTGCTTCCAAGCTAATTCCTTGAGTCATAATGATTTATACTCTATGGCTTGGGCAAGCTGCATAGTCCCAGAGTGTCCCCAGAAGAAGGGAATAGTAAACCACTTCTGACTACTCTATTCCTAGAAAACCCTGGAAAAGATTGCTGGAGGTTGGAATCAACTTGACAACATGTAATTATTCTTACAAGGCTTGATTCTGTCCCAGTTGTACAAAAAGTGTGTGTTGAACTGTGTTTAATGAGATAGTATTACAGAATGCAGTCAGCCTTAATAATAAAACCATTTCTTTTCTTTTCACAATTAGACAGTCTTTATAGGTTATGGACCTTCATTCAAGCACAAAGCAAAAGTACCTCCATTTGAGAACATTGAACTTTACAATGTGATGTGTGGTAAGTGATTTCACTTTAGCAATAATTGTACATGAAAATTCATTTTTTGCTTGTACCCAAGGTACTCCCCCCTTTTTTTCCCAGTTTATTGAATCTGTTTCCAATGCATGCCATTTGGAAGAAAGTCAGAATTGCAATTCTCTTCTGTGGCGGTGCAATGGTAGTAGTTGCTACTGTTCTTTAGACTGGAACATTTTTACCCCTTTAATTGATTTTTAAATCAGGCCCTTTATTACAAGGGCCTTTAAGCTGGCTAGAAAATTGAAAACTGAAACAATTAAAAAGTCTTATAATCTAGGCAACAGAAAAAAAAGTACAGTAAAAGTATACAATTGCAATGGCCAAATAAAACTGGATCAAAGAGAGGTTGAAAATATGCCCTGCAGGTCAAAGAGTTCCAAAGCCGAGATGCCATATCTGCAAAGATTTCTCCCTCTTTGCCATCCTCCTAAAGCAAGACAGACCTGGAGATGGTCCTCTGGAGGTCATGCTGATACACAAGGGTATGAAAGGATAGGACACATAGCTTCTAGCCAGTCATTTGTTATATCAGTGAATCAAACTGAATGGGCTATCAAATACCTTATTGCAATTACAGATTATTATTAATAATCTTAACAGTGCAGAGTTGGAAGGAACCCTGTTGATCATTGAGTCCATCCCCTGTCAAGGCAGTGTCATGAGGAATTGCAGCCAGAGACATCCTTCTATGGCTGTGTGGGGATTTGAACCCTGGTCTGGGAATTGCAGCCAGAGACTATGGCTGAGTGGGGATTTGAACCCTGGTCCGTGAGTCCTAGTCTATCATTCAATCCCTTACACCACACTAGCTCTCTTATATGGCCCAATGTGCATCTAATATGAATTATGCGCTCTTAATTATTAACTTTGTAGGAGTAGGATGAAAATAAAGTGCCTTTCAATTTTTCTGTTTTGGAAGCTAAAGTAGAGAAGTAGAGTTTACAATTTGAAGTGATATATACCATATTTACACCTGTTTTTTTCTGATTTAAATCCTTTTCCAGATTTACTTGGATTAAAGCCTGCCCCTAATAATGGAACTCATGGAAGCTTAAATCACTTACTGCGCAGCAGTACATATAAACCAATCATGCCAGATGAAGTGGCCAGGCCACTCTATCCTGTAGCTACCACACCTTCATCTGACTATGACCTGGGATGCACATGTGATGACAAGGTAAACCTACGGTACCTATTGGAATTTGGAAGACCGCTAGGCAACTAGATTTTAATTTTTTTCTAGAAATATACAAAATTCCTATTAGTAAGATGTGTGCTCTAGAGCTACTGTGAAGAAGAGAACTCAGTAAATTCTCCAATCTTTCGATCTGTAATTATAACAATGCTATGTCAAGCATTGCCTGTGCCAAGATTGTATCCCTTTGCAGTGAAAATAAAAATAATTTTGTTTCAGTTAAATTTCATCAAATAAGATCTCAGTGGCATCAGGGGACATCTGGGTTATGACTTCTGACTGGCTAGGGACACATAGCACAGGCTTCTGTTGCTACTGTTAATATTTGGTGCTATATGCTTGTACAGCAAGCTAAGAGTTTGAAACCACTTTGATTGAAATGTTGCTTTGCTTCAGTTCATATTTGTACAATACATGCTTTGGATCTAAAATGGAGCCTTGTTTCAATTCTTCGAAATTTCCGTTGTCCTCCTATTGTGATTTCTTGGTGAGGTGTATCTGAGCTCTGCTTTGCATGTGCCAAGTAGATGAAAGAAACATAACTATATTGTAGTGGCAGCGCGCGCACACACACACACACGTATCACATGAAAATGTCAATTCAATAGATCATCACAGTTTGCATGCCTTATGATCCACTTAACTCACATGGTCAGTCTTCTCAGTTCAGTTGTATGAATTGGCCTGATCTGTCTTATGAAAGGAAACAGTTTATTTGCACTGTAGGGAGGGGTCCTGAGGCAAAGATAATTCTGGGAATCCTTTTTGATCAGACCTGTTTGGAAAAATCTATCATATTTTTCAAGAAACTAGTACAATGTGGCTTTCACTAATTAGGAAATGTTTCCAATCATCCCTTCAAAAGAGCCCATATTGCTTTCGTAGGCAAATACTGAAGTTGGAAATAAGAGAGTGTGCTCTCCATTCTGATGCTGATCTTATATTTCATGCTTTATTTGATTTTTTTAAAAAAAACAGAATAGATTGGATGAACTCAATCGACGTCTTCATGTTAAAGGAACTGAAGGTAAGTTCATGATGGCAAGCTTAGTAATTAAGCCCAATAATTAGACAGTAATGTTTTTGTTGTCTGTGTATCTCCTTTCTTTCTTTCTTTTTCTCTTATGGATGTATGTGACTGTGTGAGAAAGGGGCAAGTTCCAGTCGGCTGGAAACTCACTGCCCAGCAAAGATCTGCCATAGGGCGGCCATTTTCAGTGACTATGCAGCGAGGAATCCATCCCAGAAAACAGCGGGGAGCCATTTTATTTACCCAGCGGCCATTTTGAAACCGCCAATCAGCTGTAGGAAAATCGTGGTTTTGGGAAGAATCGGTTCCCGAAGCAGGGAACAGATAATCACAAAGGGAAAACCCCCTATTCAGACCATCCTTTTTGCGATTGCAAAAATGTCATCGTTAAGCGATTTCATCATAACGTGGGCCAATTGTAAAGCGGGGCACGACTGTATATATATATATATCTATATATATGAATTTGACACAACTATGAGAGGCAGTTTTTTTGTTTCTGATCATGGGGCGTTCTTGGCAAAGATACTGGAGTGGCTTGCCATTTCCTACTCCAGGTGGATTGCGTTTAGGTATGTGACTGTGTGAGAAAGGGGCAATAAACAAACATTTTATATATACATGCACTCACACACACACAAATTGTTGAACAGATTATGAAAGTTTCAGATATATAGAGATCAATAGATATAGATATAGATATAGATATCTCAAACATTCATCTGTTCAATTCATAATGTCTCATTCTTACATGGTATTCATATATCAAAAAGGTCATGAGATCAAGTAGCTAAACGCTGGGGAATTTAAATACAAAAAAGACTGATATATTTTGAAATTGGTAATAATGTGAATTATACTTAATCAAATGCATTTGCAATTAATCAACAGACAGTGCATTTCCCCTCTTACTACCTTTTGACATAAGTAAAACTAATGGTTTATAAAGTTCTTTTTTTAACACCCATGTATAAGCTGGCAGACAGTAATGAGCTGCAGGGAAAAGACCTCTTTCTGAAAGAGGCTATTTGCTTATGAGACCAGAGCAGTTTCTCCTTCTCATGGCCTGTTATAATGTTGTATAGTGCACAATCATCTGGAGGTTGAACTGAATGAAAAGAATGTTATTTCCTCATAAACAAGGGGCTTGTTAGTGTTTCAGAAGTATAAATGTATGTGAACTTTCTGCCTGAGCGAGCAGAATTGCGAATGAAGCCCGTACTTTCCAATCACAAAACAAAGCAATGTGATTATGTTTAGCCAATGAAGAATCAAAGTGGAGATATAAAAGGATTTTATGTAGCCATGCATGTGTCTGTGCATATGTAGAGAACCAGAGCATATTCCTTGGGATTACACCTTCCAAAATTTCACAGCCAGCATTACCACTGGGGATTATAATTCAAAATAAGGTAGCTTTTTCAAGGTTATCAGAGAAGATCATGAGCTTGATTATGGTTCATCTGTCTGTCTGTCTGTCTGTCTGTCTGTCTGTCTGCCTGCCTGCCTGCCTGCCT